CAGGTTCTGTTTAACTGGTGTGTGTGTGTGGGGGGGTTGCTGTTTGCTTGTTTGTTTTTGTTTGCTTTAAGGTAGGGTCTCTCACTGGCTTGGATCTGACCTGTTTCAGTCTCTTTAGTGATGGCATTTCAGCATGTGCCATCATACCTGGCTTCTTTTTACTTAAGCTTTATAGATCAAACTCAGGTTCTCATGCTTAGAAAACAGAAACTATAGCAACAACCATCTTCAGAAGGAGCCTTCTTTTTACTTAAGCTCTATAGGGCAAACTCAAGTTCTCATGATTAGAAAACAGAAACTATAGCAACAACCATCTTCAGAAGGAGCTTTCTTTTTACTTAAGATATATAGATCAAGCCCAGGTTCTCATGCTTAGAAAACAGAAACTATAGTAACAACCATCTTCAGAAGGAGCCCTGTCTGTGACATTAATGAAAAGCCTTTCTAATAGGAACAGAGCGGAATGCCAATCTTTCAATTTGAATTTCCCTTTCAAACATGTATTTATTACCCATTTTTACTTAATTTTCTTAAAGACATTTTCACTCATTGCTTACGGTTTTGATGTTTTGTATTTGCAGCATCTTATATATTCTTGATATTAGTTCCCTTCAGATGTGTAAGTGGCAAAGATTTTCTCCCATTTTGTAGGCTAAATCTTCACTCTTTTAAAAAAAACAGATTTATTTATTTATTTGTTAATTTTTACGTGCATGAGCCTTCATGAGGGTTTGTGCACATTTGTTTAAAGTAACTGGGAGGTGACAGATTGCTTGGAACTATAGTTAGAGGGAGTTGTGTGCTACAATGTGGAGCCAAACCTAGCTATTCTGTGAGTAAATAAAGTAGCAGCTCACCAGTCTTTACAGCTTTGACTTTTGTATCTTTTACTGTACAGAAACTTTTTAATTTTATATAACCCTGTTTGTGATTTCTAGCTGTTACTTTATGACTTCCTCAAGTTACTTTCAGGAAGTCCTTGCCTATGAATATAACTTGAAGCGTTTTCCCTGGTAACATCTTCAATCCTTCATGTCTTAATGTTAAAGTCTTTTGTCTGTTTTGAGTGGATTTTTATGCTGGGTGGCTCAGAGGGATCTAGTTTCAGTCTTGAACATGTGCATATTAAGTTTTCCCAGAACTGTTTGTTGAAGATGCTGATTTGTTCCCAACACCTGATGGGTGTATTTCTGTTTTTATTATATATATATATATATATATATAATTTATATAGTATATTGGTCTATATTTTAGTTTTTCTGCAAGTATCGTGTTGTTTTATAAGAATGACTACATAGTGTGTGTGAAATTACATGCTATGACAACTCTAATATTTTTCTTTATGCTTTTGAGTGCTTTGGATGTGGGTAGTCCTACATACTCTTATGAATTTTAAGATTTAAAATAATTTCTTTGATGAATCCTTGGAATTTTGATAGGGATTATATTGAAAACGGAAAGCACTTTCCCTTACATGGTTATTTTTACAAATATTAACTCTACCAGTTCATCCTCTAGTATATTTGATTTCTTTTGGAAGTCTTTTAAGATTTTTTTTTTATTTATGTATTTGCACATTTATTTATTTATGTATTTACTTCTTTTTAGGTTATTTATTTATTTTCATTTAAACCTTTTTGTTTTCATTTTACATACCAACCACAGTTCCCCCTTCTTTCACTTCTCCTGCCCTTCCCACCTCCCGCATCCCACCCCATCCACTCTTTAGAGCATGCATTGCCTCCTTTGGGGAGTCAACAAAGTCTGGCATACCCAGTTGAGGCAGGACTAACCTCTCCCCCTGCATCAAGGTTGAGCAAGGGGCTCCAAAAAGCCCTCATGCACTGTGGATAAGTCCTGGTTTCACTGCCAGTGACCCCACAAACAGATCAGGCCACCAACAATCACCCATATTTAGAACCATACTTAAGTCCCATGTTGGTTTCCTAGCTGTCAGTCCAGAATCTGTAACCTGCCATGAAATTGGATTAGCTGTCTCTAAGATGTTTTCCTCACCATGATCTTGACATTCCCTTGGTCATATGATCCCTCCTTCCTCTCTTCAGCTGAACTCCAGGAGCTCAACCCAGTGCTTAGCTGTGTATCACTGCATTTGCTTCCTTAAGTTACTGGATGAAGGTTCTATGGTGACAATTAGGGTAGTCATCAATCTGATTAAAGGAGAAGACCAGTTCAGGGACCCTCTTCCCTATTGCTAGGTTTCTTAGTTGCGGCCATTCTTATGAATTCCTGGGAATCCCCTAGCACCAGGTTTCTCCCTAATCCCATAATGACTTCCTCTATCTAGATATCTCTTTCGTTGCTCTCCTTTTCTGTCTCTCCCCCCAACTAGGTCACCTCAATCCCTCGTGTTCTTATCTCCTCCTTTCTACACACATCCTCCCAGTTTACCCAGGAGATCTTAACTACTTCCTCTTCCTGTAGCCCTACATGTGTGTCCCTTTTAAGGTCTTCCTTTTTAACTAACTTCTCTAGGATTGTGAATTTTATCCTGGTTATACTTTGCTTTGTACCTGATAACCACTTATGAATAAGTACACACCTTGCACACCTTGTTTGTCTTTTTGGATTACCTTATTCAGGATGATCTTTTTTTTTTTTTTTTTTTTCTAGTTCCATCCATTTGCCTACAGATTTCATGATGTCATTGGGTTTTTTTTTTTGTTTGTTTTGTTTTTGTTTCTTTTTTTTTTTAATAACCACTGAGTAATACTCCATTGTGTAAATGTACTACATTTTCTTCATCCATTCTTTGATTCAGGGTTGTTTCAGATTTGTAGTCACTGGTGAGTCTACAATACTCCAGTGGATACGTCCAAATTCATGGTTACAGTGATCACCCTTGCTTATAAGTGGCTTATAAAACAAAAAGATATAAGCATAGGAAAAGGACTTATGGTCAAGCAGATGGATTAGCAAGAAAATGAAGAGAGTAAGAGTAATTAGAATGTATTTTTTTCATGCATACAATTGTCAATAAAAATCCAATTAATAATGAAACACATATACCAAATATGTACTCAAATTCATTAGGTGTAAACATTTTTAAAAACTATTAAAAATATTAAAAGTTTGGAAAATATGTTAGAACATTTTTCTTACAAATTTATCTAAATTCATACTATGAAGTTTCTCCCAATTAATTTGTTAATATGATTTTATTGTTATAGTCTATTTTGACTTTTCAATATTTTTGACAACAATAAAACTAAACTATAAATTTGTGACTAAGAATATTATTTTAAATAATATAGAAACTTAGAAACCTGTGGATACAATGACTTGGAACCTTTAAATTTTAGTATTCATTTCTGTTTATATTTGGAAGTATTGGGATGATTGAAAATTAAGATTTTTATGGTATGAATGTCAATGATAAATTCTATTATTTTGTTATAGAATTTACTTATATTAACTAAGTTTAGTTTAATAAATGTTATTTAAGCTATCTTAAATAAAGTATATTAGTTTACTGTGCTTTTTAACAGTATATCTGTCAAACATGGTGGCACATAGGCAGACATGGTGCTGGAAAGATAGCTCAGAGTTCTACAACTGGATCATCAGATATCAGGAAAAAAGTGCCACAGCTTGAAGATCTGAGACATCAAATCCCATCCCTCAGTGTCACACTTCTTCCAACAAGGCCACACTTACTCCAACAAGGCCATTCCTTTTAATAGTGCTACTCTCTGGTGCTAAGCATTCAAGCAAATGAGTTATGGGCAGCATTCCTATTCAAACCATCATACTACAAAAGTATCATACATTAAATTTTCGCTCTCATTTGAATCCTTGTCCAGTTCTGAGGACACCAATCATTAAGCACCAAGTAAAATATCATCCTCTAGACAACATTCCCAAGAAACGTATCAACCAACATGCACTAGATTGATGCTGTATTTTACTCTCTGTTGAAATATAGAACACTTACACAAAATTACATATACTAAATTTCTACAACTCAATAAACTTACACCATCCAAAACCAGCAATTAACTAATAGAGATAAGATGTTTTAAGATCCCAGAATCCATTCAAATATCTTATATCTATGACTTATATACCATAGAAAACAATAAAATTGCATACATATTTCCATGTTGGAAAAAGAACAGTGACTTCATGTCAGCCTTCACTGATGAAACTAGAAGAAAAGAATACTATAATATGAACACAGACTCCTTATGAGCCATGGGTCTCTATTCTGGAACTGTAGTAAATAATCAAATAAGTACAGTGTGATATTTTTTCCCAACAACTTGATCTTAATAAATTTATCCAATATAAATTGCTAAAACCAAGTTCCTTAATTTTACACCATTTACATAATTTAGAAAATAGTAAAAATGAAAAGGAAAGAACAGAAACAACAAATATTCAATCATGAATCTTTGGATAAGGTTAAAATATCACAACAGTAAGCTCCAGTAAGACTGCAAAAGGATACCTTGGCATCAGATAGTTGCATACAGAACAATGCATAGAGTTGCTAAAGTTTATGGTTACTCACCTGTCTGATCTAAATTGAATTTTCAAGTCTTAGATCACTAAAACAATGAAAAAGAAATTGTCTTAAAAATACTCAACACTGATAGTAGCAGATTTAAAACCTATGTTTCATTATATATACCTAACAGGAAGGCAATATTATTTTTGAAATGCTAGTATGACTGTCAGTGTACATACCAGTTGCTTTTGCTTCCACATTTACATTTTTTTTTATCTGTTACATATTTCCTCAAAGAAAATGTCATCAGCTTTATTCTCAGTAAGAAAAAAAAACCAAAAAAAAAAAACCAAACAAACAAACAAACAAAAAAAACAATGCAAGTTTTGTGTCACCAGAAAAAATTGCACATTACCTTAATAGCTAGGAGATGAAACCCACACATAGTGGTCAGAAGACTTCACCAAGGCCTCATTAGGCAAAGGCAGGCTCTGAGAATCTTATTTGTCTTATTTGAGGGCTCATCTCTGGACCTCTGATTGTCATTTGTATGAGTTGTATACCATCTTCAGAGATTTGTTTTCATCATTGATTCAGACAAGTCATCTTTTAATAGATGGGTATTTGCACAGCCAGTCAAAACCTGAGCAAGCTTGTTTATTCTGTTTTGGAAAAAAGGAGAATATGACTGAGCAGTACACACTTTGCTTATTGTATGAACAAGGTACCTGTTAGCATTAGGAAAAGTGGCCAGGAAAAAAGAAACATCTGTGGACAGTTTTGAGATTGATTTTTATATGCCATACATCAAATCATCAGTGCATGATGCCAAGAACAGAAAGGCATTTAGCACCAGGATCCTGAATTGCATAAGGACCAGATAAGGACCAGCACACATAGACATGTATGACTAAAACATTAGCAAGGGCAAGGAAAGTACAAATGGCCACTCCACACACCCTATTACTTACTTATTTCACTGCCGTCACTAGCTATTTGGTATTTGAAATACAAGAAGGTCTTTAATTGATTCTGCATTTTCTTCTGCTATTTTTATTCTGTCTCATACCATTGAAATCCCAAAGAGAATGGCTGCCACAATGAATTATTCTACCAGCATGTGTGCTTCCTGAAGTCTTGGAGAGTGACCACTAAGTCACAAATGAAGAACTCAGTTAAGTATACCCAGAGCCACAGTATAAACCCAGAACTTTCTAGTTATTACCATGCCCAATTAACCTGAGAAGTGATATTTATATCTCCGATGTGCTTTAGGGTTGCAAATTTGGCAACTTCTTATGGGGAGTCTCCCAAGTTGGTAGCTTAGAAGCATTTAAAATGATGGACCTCTCCATTGCTAGTGTGATGGGAAGCATTTGTTAAAGAGTAGGCATGAAAGTTAATGGTAAATTCCTATATCCTTTTATACTAAAGGCTACCTCAAGATCATCCTGACTACAGCTATGCATAATCCCCCTTTATTTCTTGTCAGTTGTTTATGTCCAAATATCTTGGAATTTACTAATCAAGATAATTTGGATCTCCAATTCCTGACATGTAGGTCTAAGTGATAGATGAAATTCAGAAACTACCCCTAGCATGGGTGGTATGAGTCTAATGTCATTAGAACTAGACAGTAATTCTTAAATGTGTAGAAGCACCTTTGTCCTTTCTAAAGGCAAGCCACAGGCTTTATCTTTGTAGTTACCCGAGAGGTGTGCTGCTGTGGGGTTAAAGAGGGCATCTCAGTTCACTGAAAGACACAAGAGGAGACAGGGACCTAAGCAATGTTGGCTAGTCATTTAAGGATTACACAAGAGTAGGAAGTCACCCATGAAGGCAGGGATTGTAATGAGTTCACTAGACACAAGATAAATGATAAATGGGTGTTTTATTGGGAAACAATTTACACAGATAATAAAGAATCACCACAGTCTTTCTTTGCCCTTCTGGTCCCATCTGTGATGAAGGAGAGAGAGGAAAGAGAGAGAGAGAGAGGGAGAGAGAGAACCACCCTACATTTCCCTCCTTCTGGTTTTGCCCACACCTCAAGCCATGCCCAAAGGGGTGTGGCCACTAACACAAATACACCAGCAAGAATGAATGCCACTACATTTCCCCTTTTAGTCTAAAGAAGGAGGTTTAAGCCTGGTGCAAAAATATATGAACAATGGTAACAAATGTCATGTATATTACAGGAAAGGGAAAGATAAACATACACAAATTAAAACCTACTACCAGCAGGATAAAAGCATGACAGAGATTACTCTGATAGTAGCCCTAATCTGGAAAGCCTAAGTCTTGTCTATCTAAGATAAGAGAGGATATACTTATGACTATCTAGTCTTCAATCTTATCTAAGACCTGAGAAGGAAAATAACATTACTAGGGTAGGCGGGAAGTGCAAGCATGCAGCTTCCTAAAGGTGCAAGCAAAGACAGAAACAGCAGGCTACCTGGATAGTCACCCAAGGTCTCACAGCAATGACTGGGTGACCAACTTTGGCTAAAGCCTAATGTATCAGACAGACCATCTTAGAAGCAGGGAAATTGAAAAACTGCCTTACCCTGACTTGGCAAGTTTCAGCAGTCTTTATTTTCTGCTATTCCAGTTAGGAGAGCTTGTCCAAGGTCAGTGGTCAAGGTAAGGGCAGTTCTTTGCCCAAGAGGCCAGTAGCCAAAGAGAATACAAACTTCAGATAGAATGACATTGGTGCCCATCATACTCTCAGTAATAGATTGGTGCTGTCAGGAGCAATTGTGTCTCATGTCAACAGAGCACTAAATTATTAGCACATTTATATGTCATATTCTGCAGGTCTTTGAAGTGTTTGAAGATCAAATATCTATGACTAACCTCATAAGTATAAGAAGCATATATAACTAATCTGTAATTTTCAGAAACATATTACCCAATGGCTGAAGCATGCACGCTCGCGCGCACACACACGTAGAACTGAAATGTCTTGAGCAGAGGTAGAATTGTAAAGTGCAACATGATAAAATATCCTAAATTATATCAGTATACAAAATATCTTAAGCATATGTAGAAGCATATATACATGGAATATGATAAAGACAGTTTTATGTATGTGTACAAAACATCATAAACAGAAAGAAGACCCTACACTGTATGACAAATATACAAATTATCATAGAAGTTATCTATAGCTAATAGTTGCCAAAAATAGTTCACTAGAAGATATGTCAATCTACCTATATCACATCCCAACCATACCCTTACCATCCACACCCTTAAACTTTTCTAAAAGAGATAGCTGAGTCTGACCATCATCTTCCATACCCAACCCTATACAACTTAAAACCAATTCTAAGCAGGAGATAATATCCTTTTTACAGAGATGAAAATAAACAAACAAAACAAAACCAAAATACCCTTTAAGCCAACATTGGGGAAAGGAGGAATTGTTTTCTTAGAATTACTTCCTTCTGTAATGGGGTGACAGTGATTCTATGAGATCAAGTAGGAATAAAAAGCTAAACAATGGAGGAAAGCACGTGGGACTAGGAAGATTTAGTCAGGGGAGGAATAGATGAGAGAAAAGAGAGAGAGAGAGAGGCCATAAAAGAGGGAGCCATTATGGTTTTGAAGAGAAAACTGACTCTATAGAAATGTCTAGAGATCAAAACTCTGACAATTTGAACAACAGTGAAAAGGCTATCATAAATGCCCTTCCCTGATAATGAGACTGATGACTAACTTATCCACCATCATAGAGCCCCTCATGTAGTAGCTGATGGAAACAGAAGCATAAACCCACAGCTAAACACTGAGCTGAACTGGAATCCAGATGCAGAGAGGGAACACACGACCAGGCTACAGAAACCCACAGAGACCCGAACAAGGAGGAGCCAGTGGACCCCCAGACTGATAGCTGGGAATCCAGCATTGGATCTACTCTGACCCCCTGAACATAGGTCTCAGCTAGAAGGCCTGGCAAGTCTAAGGGACCTCTGACAGTGGAACTAGGATGTATGCTTGGTGCACAAAAGGACTTTGGGAGCACATTCCCCATGGAGAAATACTCCCTTAACTTAGAGGCACGAGAGAGGTCCTAGTCCCTACTCCAAATGACTTGACAGCTTTTGTTGACCCTTCCTGGAAATCACCACCCTCCCTGGGGAGTGGGGGGGATGGAATTGTGGTCAGGGGGCATGGGAGGGAGAGATAGGGAACTAGGATCAATATGTAAACTAAGAAAAAAATAAAAAAAATTAACAATGGTTAAGTCTCAAGAGGACTAGCTGTAACATTTGTAACTAGTCTCTGAATGACAGATGATGCTTGTCTGAAGTTCTTATCTGAAGCTCTTGCCATAGTGTTTAAGAAGGTGCAGCATCTCAGCTACCTAATCTGGAATTGTCTAGAACAGTATTCGTCCCAATCTGGTCCTAGAGTGTTGTTTACTAGTTCAAAGACATCAAGTTGAATCAAGTGGAATCAATAAAATGGGGTCCCATCTTCTTTCCAGAGAGTTCAATGATTGCTGTTAGGAAATTTTGTTGTTCACTTTGGAAGACTTCAACATTAATATCAACACAGAAAGTTTAACTTTTGTAGGTATGCATACTGGGAAAGGTAAAATTAAGGAGAGAAATTAGGGTTTTTGAGAGATATCAGTTTTGACAATAATAGTCTCTGGGTTTTGTTTTCTTTTGACTTATACCAATTGGCCTTTTTATATGAGATAGAAAGTCTGAATTTTATTTTAACAACATGCTTGAGTTTAGAGGAGGAGAACCAAATCTAACTCCAAAGCCAGCATTGGTTTTAGATGAATTGGGACTATTATCATAATGGGAAGTAAGGAGATATAGGCATTCAGGTAGAGAGATTTTACTATGAATAGATATTGGGACCATAAGTCAGATTCTCCTTTGTTTGATGATTCCTTCTGGATAGCTTAACCTTTCTTCTTTAGGCATCTACACATGCAATGTCTTTTGGCTTCTTGAAGATGGGTGTTTTCTGTTCTCCTGTAAAGATAAGAACAGAACACTCACCTGACCTTTGTGAGGTCTCCATACAACTTGTGGCATTTATCTTGATGGAAGACCTGTCATTTCTCCTCATCAAGAGGTTTCTCCTGTTCAAACCATGTCTTGATCAGCTTTGATGGTATCCACAGTTTTTCTTCTTCTGTAGAAACAAAGGTGAAATCCTTTCCCCAATATAGCACATATCCTGGCTTCCATGCTGAGGTCAACACGACCTTGAAGTACATCAGCTGATTTAGCTCAGAAGTTTTTCCTGTTGTCAAGTGTCTTTCAGTGGCTTTTTTTTTCATTTCTCATTAGCATTAAGAAAGTTTAAGGTTAGTAAAGTATTATGCAATCTGGATTGTGGGGTCTTGGTTTCCCCTGCCTGTTTACAGAGCATTCCTTTAAAGTGCAATTAGATCTCTCAACAACTGGTTGTACTGAAGGATTATGCGGTATACCAATAATATGCTTTATGTTAAAATATTTAAACAAATATTTCAGTTTACTAGAGACATACACTGGAGCATTGTCAGTTTTTATTTGTGAAGGTATACCCATAATGGCCATAACCTCTAATAGGTATGTAATAAAAGAATCAGCCCTTTCAGTGCTCAGGACAATTGTCCATTGACATCCTGAAAATGTGTATATTGTATGGTATACATATTGTAATTTTCCAAATTCTGCAAAGTGAAACACAATATTTGCAAAGTTTCATTTCTGTATATACATTTATGGTACTACCTGCTGGGAAAGGAGTTTGGTTATTGAAGGAAGAAGTAGGACATGGAGGAAAATATTTTTTTTTTCACTATTTCCTTATCTTGTTGCCACATGATAGAAAAATCATTTCTTTTAAACCATTGCTATTTACATGGTGTTTTTAAATAAATTCTGAGGCCCCTAGCTCACTTCCTATTAATAATTGCTCAATTTCATCACTGTCCTGTGCTAGAGGAACTGGCAGACGTTGTGACAAGTAGGCCAGAAGAAGTTGCTGCCCCAGTGGATATCAACCCACCAAGAAACTGCCTCTCATCAACATCAGATGAAACTGTGTACTTGTAGCATGGGCGTAGGGAGGTCCTAATATCGGAGGAAGGAAAGAGAGTTGAAAAGGACTTGCCAGCAGTGCCCTTCGAACACTAGGATACCGAAAATCATCCTATGGTTTACTAATCTAGTAAATTTTTGGAGTGATTGATCATCATGGAATCTGAGGTCTGCACTAAGGCCGTTCTGAGCTGCGATTTGTGCAAGTGTGTATTGAGAAACACTTCTGAGATAATGAGAACTTGAAACTCTTGCCCTGGAAGCCCCAATCTGGATGGTAATTAGAACTATTTTTAAAGGCAGGGAATAAGGTTCCATTCATTCTATCACAGACCTGTGCAATCCGAGGAACTGAGAATCCTGTCCGCAACCCCCCTGCAATAAATGCTTAGTTTTGTATGTCCCAATCCCCAGGTCTTCAAACTCTTGAAGTGAGTCCAGTTTGAGTATGACCCTGTCCAAATAGGTTTCAAAGAAGGGCGTCCCCCAAAGAAAGGCCGAGTTGGGTGCCCAACGGCTAAAATACCATGAGGTCTACAGAGGAAGGTGAGGACCCATGATCTGCAGAGTGTCACTCGATTAAGTAATTCTTTCCACTTACCATAATCCACATGTTACATGGTCAAGAAAGGCATCCCGATCACTGAAAGACAGGAGAGAAGAGTGGCCCATGAGCATTGTCTTGGGGGAGGGGTCGCAACCCTGAATAGTACAGAGTGAGACTCAAAGAGCCTTGGGAGTGATCATCGAGTTCACTCCTACAGAAGGGCACATGGAGTTCACTGGATTCCACAGAGCAGGAACACCATGCTGAGCCAAAGAGGGCCCGGGACTTGGCCTACAAGAAAGACCAAGTAGACTAGGCCTCCATTGGTGCCCCATTCTGTTCATCCGGCCTAGCGTAATCCTATTGAGCATGATTTTTATGTCATCACCTCTCTTCATGACATTGGTTTGTCATCATAGACCCAGGATATCAGACAGAACAGATCAATATGTTACTGTGACACAAACCATGTTGCTTACCAGGAGTGCCAAATCGACCAAGCTGAGGAACTGAAGAAATTTCAGCCAGCATTCTTCTCCTGCAAGAAATGAGTTTGCTCAGTTGGCTCTTATGGTGCACGTTTATGTGAGCAAAATGGGACCTGTAGAGCATTCAGCAACATGAAAACCCAGATATGAATCTCCAATGGTCCCCCAGCAGGGTAATTTGGCAACTTGCTTTTAAAATGCATGGCAAAATTAAGAAAAAAAACTAAGTGATGACTACCAGTCTGCCCACCTTCCCATGTCATTTGACGCTAAGAAAAATTCACCCTGAATCCTACTGTCACACTCTACATTAGAAACAAGAGTTTTGGCAAGTTAAACAGCAGGGCCTTTTTAAACATGTCATCTTGTGACCTCTGAACGGTTCCTGACTAGGTCCACAACCTGGTATGCATTTGTGATTGCCAGGCAAATTCTCATTACCCACTGGAAATCACAGACTATTGTGCAGGACAGGATCCCTACTCACTCCTTACTTAATTGGACCTACCCAGTCTACAAGAGGTGCCAGGTCTTGGTGTCTGGAGACATTCTCCCTCACTAGAGCCATGCTAGTTTTGCACTTCACTGTGCCATGCACGTACAAATATAACAACAATGCCAGAGCCGTGTGGCCAGTAGGCCAGAAGAAGTTGCTGCCCCAGTGGATATCAACCCACCAAGAAACTGCCTCTCATCAACATCACATGAAACTGTGTACTTGTAGCATGGGCGTTGGGAGGCAGGAAAATGCCACTGATATCAGGGGAAGGAAAGAGAGTAGAAAAGGACTTGCCGGCAGTGCCCTTCCAGCACTGAAAGTCATCCTATGGTTTACTAATCTAGTAAATTATCAGAGTGATTAATCATCATGGAATCTGAGGTCTGCACTAAGGCCGTTGTGAGCTGCAATTTGTGCAAGTGTGTATCATGAAACACTTCTGAGGTAATGAGGACTTGAAACTCTTGCCCTGGAAGCCCCAATCTGGATGGTAACTAGAACAATTTTTAAAGGCAGGAAATAACGTTCCCTTCATTCAATCACAGAGCTGTGCAATCCAAGGAACTGAGAATCATGTCCGCAACCCCCCTCCAATAAATGCTTAGTTTGGTATGTCCCAATGCCCAGGTTTTCAAACACTTGAAGTGAGTGCAGTTTGAGTATGTCCTTGTCCACATAGGTTGCAGAGAAGGGCATCCCCCAAAGAAAGGCCATGTTGGGTGCCCAACGGCTAAAATACCATGAGGTCTAAAGTGGAAGGTGAGGACCCATGATCTGCAGAGTGTCACTCGATTAAGTAATTCTTTCCACTTACAATAATCCACATGGCACATGGTCAAGGAAGGCATCATGATCACTGAAAGACAGGAGAGAAGAGTGGCCCATGAGCATTGTCTTGGGGGGGGGGGGAGTCGCAACCCTGAATAGTACAGAGCTAGACTCAAAGAGCCTTGGGAGTGAACATCGAGTTCACTCCTACAGAAGGACACATGAAGTTCACTGGATTCCACAGAGCAGGAACACCATGCTGAGCCAATGTGGGCCTGGGACTTGGCCTACAAGAAAGACCAAGTAGACTAGGCCTCCATTGGTGCCCCATTGTGTTTAAAGGGCCTCAGCGTAATCCTATTGAGCATGATTTTTATGTCATCACCTCTCTTCATGACATTGGTTTGTCATCATAGACCCAGGATATCAGACAGAACAGATCAATATGTTACTGTGACACAATCCATGTTGCTTACCAGGAGTGCCAAGTCGAACATAATGAGGAACTGAAAAATTTCAGCCAGAATTCTTCTCCTGCAAGAAATGAGTTTGCTCAGTTGGCTCTTATGGTGCACGTTTATGTGAGCAAAATGGGACCTGTGGAGCATCCAGCAACATGAAAACCCAGATATGAATCCCCAATGGTCCCCCAGCAGGGTAATTTGGCCACTTGCTTTTAAAATGCATGGCAAAGTTAAGAAAAAAAACTAAATGATGGCTACCAGTCTGCCCACCCTCCCCATGTCATTTGACGCTAACAAAAATTTACCCTGAAACCTACTGTCACACTCTACATTAGAAACAAGAGTTTTGGCAAGTTAAACAGCAGGGCCTTTTTTAACATGTCATCTTGTGACCTCTGAACGGTTCCTGACTAGGTCCACAACCTGGTATGCATTTGTGATTGCCAGGAAAATTCTCATTACCCTCTGGAAATCACAGACAATTGTGCAGGACAGGATCCCTACTCACTCAGTATTTAATTGGACCTACCCAGCCTACAAGGGGTGCCAGGTCTTGGTGTCTGGAGACATTCTCCCTCACTAGAGCCATGCTAGTTTTGCACTTCAGTGTGCCGTGCACGTACAAATATAACAACAATGCCAGAGCCTTGTGGCCAGTAGGCCAGAAGAAGTTGCTGCCCCAGTGGATATCAACCCACCAAGAAACTGCCTCTCATCAACATCACATGAAACTGTGTAGTTGTAGCATGGGCGTTGGGAGGCAGGACAATGCCACTAATATCCGGGGAAGGAAAGAGAGTAGAAAAGGTCTTGCCGGCAGTGCCCTTCCAGCACTAGGATACTGAAAGTCATCCTATGGTTTACTAATCTAGTAAATTATCAGAGTGATTGATCATCATGGAATCTGAGGTCTGCACTAAGGCCGTTCTGAGCTACGATTTGTGCAAGTGTGTATAATGAAACACTTGTGAGGTAATGAGAACTTGAAACTCTTGCCCTGGAAGGCCCAATCTGGATGGTAACTAGAACTATTTTGAAAGGCAGGGAATAAGGTTCCATTCATGCTATCACAGAGCTGTGCAATCCGAGGAACTCAGAATCCTGTCTGCAACCCCCCTGCAATAAATGCTTAGTTTGGTATGTCCCAATCCCCAGGTCTTCAAACTCTTGAAGTGAGTGCAGTTTGAGTATGTCCCTGTCCACATAGGTTTCAGAGTAGGGCATCCCCCAAAGAAAGGCCGTGTTGGGTGCCCAATGGCTAAAATACCGTCAGGTCTACAGTGGAAGGTGAGGACCCATGATCTGCAGAGTGTCAGGCGATTAAGTAATGCTTTCCACTTACCATAATCCACATGGCACATGGTCAAGGAAGGCATGCCGATCACTGAAAGACAGGAGAGAAGAGTGGCCCATGAGCATTGTCTTGGGGGTGGGGTCGCAACCCTGAATAGTACAGAGTGAGACTCAAAGAGCCTTGGGAGTGAACATCGAGTTCACTCCTACAGAAGGGCACATGGAGTTCACTGGATTCCACAGAGCAGGAACACCATGCTGAGCCAATGAGGGCCTGGGACTTGGCCTACAAGAAAGACCAAGTAGACTCGGCCTCCATTGGTGCCCCATTCTGTTCAACGGGCCTCAGCGTAATCCTATTGAGCATGATTTTTATGTCATCACCTCTCTTCATGACATTGGTTTGTCATCATAGACCCAGGATATCAACAGAACAGATCAATATGTTACTGTGACACAAACCATGTTGCTTACCAGGAGCGCCAAATCGACCAAGCTGAGGAACTGAAGAAATTTCAGCCAGCGTTCTTCTCCTGCAAGAAATGAGTTTGCTCAGTTGGCTCTTATGGTGCACGTTTATGTGAGCAAAATGGGACCTGTGGAGCATCCAGCAACATGAAAACCCAGATATGAATCCCCAATGGTCCCCCAGCAGGGTAATTTGGCCACTTGCTTTTAAAATGCATGGCAAAGTTAAGAAAAAAAAATAAATGATGGCTACCAGTCTGCCCACCCTCCCCATGTCATTTGACGCTAAGAAAAATTCACCCTGAATCCTGCTGTCACACTCTACATTAGAAACAAGAGTTTTGGCAAGTTAAACAGCAGGGCCTTTTTAAACATGTCACGTTTTGACCCCTGAACGGTTCCTGACTAGGTCCACAACCTGGTATGCATTTGTGATTGCCAGGAAAATTCTCATTACCCTCTGGAAATCACAGACAATTGTGCAGGACAGGATCCCTACTCACTCCTTACTTAATTGGACCTACCCAGCCTACAAGATGTGCTAGGTATTGGTGTCTGGAGACATTCTCCCTCACTAGAGCCATGCTAGTTTTGCACTTCAGTGTGCCATGCACATACAAATATAACAACAATGCTAGAGCCTTGTGGCCAGTAGGCCAGAAGAAGTTGCTGCCCCAGTGGATATCAACCCACCAAGAACCTGCCTCTCATCAACATCAGATGAAACTGTGTACTTGTAGCATGGGCGTTGGGAGGCAGGACAATGCCACTGATATCAGGGGAAGGAAAGAGAGTAGAAAAGGTCTTGCCGGCAGTGCCCTTCCAGCACTAGGATACTGAAAGTCATCCTATGGTTTACTAATCTAGTAAATTATCAGAGTGATTGATCATCATGGAATCTGAGGTCTGCACTAAGGCCGTTCTGAGCTGCTATTTGTGCAAGTGTGTATCATGAAACACTTCTGAGGTAATGAGAACTTGAAACTCTTGCCCTGGAAGGCCCAATCTGGATGGTAACGAGAACTATTTTTAAAGGCAGGGAATAAGGTTCCATTCATGCTATCACAGAGCTGTGCAATCCGAGGAACTCAGAATCCTGTCTGCAACCCCCCTGCAATAAATGCTTAGTTTGGTATGTCCCAATCCCCAGGTCTTCAAACTCTTGAAGTGAGTGCAGTTTGAGTATGTCCCTGTCCACATAGGTTTCAGAGTAGGGCATCCCCCAAAGAAAGGCCGTGTTGGGTTCCCAACGGCTAAAATACCATGAGGTCTACAGTGGAAGGTGAGGACCCATGATCTGCAGAGTGTCAGGCGATTAAGTAATGCTTTCCACTTACCATAATCCACATGGCACATGGTCAAGGAAGGCATGCCGATCACTGAAAGACAGGAGAGAAGAGTGGCCCATGAGCATTGTCTTGGGGGTGGGGTCGCAACCCTGAATAGTACAGAGTGAGACTCAAAGAGCCTTGGGAGTGAACATCGAGTTCACTCCTACAGAAGGGCACATGGAGTTCACTGGATTCCACAGAGCAGGAACACCATGCTGAGCCAATGAGGGCCTGGGACTTGGCCTACAATAAAGACCAAGTAGACTAGGCCTCCACTGGTGCCCCATTCTGTTCAACGGGCCTCAGCGTAATCCTATTGAGCATGAGTTTTATGTCATCACCTCTCTTCATGACATTGGTTTGTCATCATAGACCCAGGATATCAACAGAACAGATCAATATGTTACTGTGACACAAACCATGTTGCTTACCAGGAGCGCCAAATCGACCAAGCTGAGAAACTGAAGAAATTTCAGCCAGCGTTCTTCTCCTGCAAGAAATGAGTTTGCTCAGTTGGCTCTTATGGTGCACGTTTATGTGAGCAAAATGGGACCTGTGGAGCATCCAGCAACATGAAAACCCAGATATGAATCCCCAATGGTCCCCCAGCAGGGTAATTTGGCCACTTGCTTTTAAAATGCATGGCAAAGTTAAGAAAAAAAACTAAATGATGGCTACCAGTCTGCCCACCCTCCCCATGTCATTTGACGCTAAGAAAAATTCACCCTGAATCCTACTGTCACACTCTACATTAGAAACAAGAGTTTTGGCAAGTTAAACAGCAGGGCCTTTTTAAACATGTCATCTTGTGACCTCTGAACGGTTCCTGACTAGGTCCACAACCTGGAATGCATTTGTGATTGCCAGGAAAATTCTCATTACCCTCTGGAAATCACAGACAATTGTGCAGGACAGGATCCCTACTCACTCCTTACTTAATTGGACCTACCCAGCCTACAAGAGGTGCCAGGTCTTGGTGTCTGGAGACATTCTCCCTCACTAGAGCCATGCTAGTTTTGCACTTCAGTGTGCCGTGCACGTACAAATATAACAACAATGCCAGAGCCTTGTGGCCAGTAGGCCAGAAGAAGTTGCTGCCCCAGTGGATATCAACCCACCAAGAAACTGCCTCTCATCAACATCACATGAAACTGTGTACTTGTAGCATGGGCGTTGGGAGGCAGGACAATGCCACTGATATCAGGGGAAGGAAAGAGAGTAGAAAAGGACGTGCCGGCAGTGCCCTTCCAGCACTAGGATACTGAAAGTCATCCTATGGTTTACTTATCTAGTAAATTATCAGAGTGATTGATCATCATGGAATCTGAGGTCTGCACTAAGGCCGTTCTGAGCTGCAATTTGTGCAAGTGTGTATCGTGAAACACTTCTGAGGTAATGAGAACTTGAAACTCTTGCCCTGGAAGCCCCAATCTGGATGGTAACTAGAACTATTTTTAAAGGCAGGGAATAAGGTTCCATTCATTATATCACAGAGCTGTGCAATCCGAGGAACTGAGAATCCTGTCCGCAACACCCCTGCAAGAAATGCTTAGTTTGGTATGTCCCAATCCCCAGGTCTTCAAACTCTTGAAGTGAGTGCAGTTTGAGTATGTCCCTGTCCACATAGGTTTCAGAGTAGGGCATCTCGCAAAGAAAGGCTGTGTTGGGTGCCCAATGGCTAAAATACCGTGAGGTGTACAGTGGAAGGTGAGGACCCATGATCTGCAGAGTGTCAGGCGATTAAGTAATGCTTTCCACTTACCATAATCCACATGGCACATGGTCAAGGAAGGCATGCCGATCACTGAAAGACAGGAGAGAAGAGTGGCCCATGAGCATTGTCTTGGGGGTGGGGTCGCAACCC